CATGTATTATCTGCATCAACATCTTACTGAACATGTACACTCTTTGATCTTCTGCATCAACCTCTCAGAACAAATTCAGTCTCAGCCATGCATGAAGATGACACACCTGAGTTACAAGAAGTAGCAAGAATCTTGAAAGACTTGGGGGTAAGTTAGAAAGCTCACTAATATTGAACTTATAATGGAACTTGAAGGTTGAAAACGTTATGGAACTTGTTATGAATGAACGAAACAGGTATCAGATGTACCAGTGAAGGTGAGAAAACTAGTGGTGAAAATATGCGACGTGGTTACAAGAAGAGCAGGGAGGCTAGCAGCAGCAGGAATCGCAGGAATCTTGAAGAAGATAGGCCGAGATGGAAGCGGAGGGATCACGAGCGGGAGAAGCAGAAGTGAAATCCAGATGCAGAAAAGAACAGTTGTTGCAGTAGAAGGAGGTTTGTACATGAATTACACCATGTTTAGGGAATACATGGAAGAAGCTCTGGTTGAGATATTAGGAGAAGAAGTGAGTCAATACGTGGTGGTTAAAGCCATGGAAGATGGTTCTAGCATTGGCTCTGCTCTCCTAGTTGCCTCTTTACAGTCATGAATCATCATCGTCGTCGTTGGTATTAATGGTTTATATAATTGGTTATGTTCGTCCTTGTGTGTGTAAATAAATTATTCAATATTTGTTTGTTGTTAATTATTATTATATTGTGTAAATGTTTAGGAATTTTTTTATATATTCTTTGTTTCTTCTACTATTCTTATGATGGTGTTATGGAAAATAGGTATTGGTTTTTCAAGAAAATGATTTACACTATGTAAAGGTGATATAGAATGTCAATTTCTATTATATATCTTTTGTTGCTTTTAGCTCTACTAAAGAAAATCGTTTGTTTAATTGATTAAAGAAGAAGAGAATCTTCTCTTTTCTATCTTTGCTTTGTAGCATTCTTCCAAAATAATAATGTTCAAAAAGAATAACTAAACTTCATTGGTTTTTTCTTTCATTACGTTTTCAATAAAATTTGTTCGTCGTGGGACGGTTGTTCTTGATCGTCGACGAGAAGAATATAGTTGGTAATTTGGTATACTAAATCCTTAGAAAGGAAGAATGTATCAAATCAAAGCAGTTGGACACATCTCTTCCTACTTATTGTATGTCTGGTTACATTCTCCTAATCATTCTCATAACCTCTGTTATCCATAACTTTTGGTGGTCTTTGAAAAAGAGATAGAAGATATCATTGACACGGCATGGGATAAGATCTTAAGGTAAAAAAGATCATGAGATAATTGCGTAAGAGACCTCAAAAATTTTAGCTTAGTCTAGTGGCAAAATAAGGACAGAGATTCCTCAAATCTCCTTAGTCCTTTACTACGCGGAGTAACGCGACTTAGTGGAGTCAATCAAATATTTTAGCTTAGTCTAGTGGCAAAACAAGGACAGAGATTCTGCGAGTCAAATGGACTTAATCACTTGACTAAAGACATATCCCCCTTTACTAACTTTAGCTAGAGTCTATAAAGCTAAATATCGAAGTTTCCTAAGAGGCAGAAAAAGGTCATCGATTCTAACTAAGTAACTATGCATGCTTGTAGATGTATATTATAAAGTGTAATTAATCTCCTAAAGCAAAGGTTGAGATGAGTAGTGGGTAGAGGACATCAAAACTAATGTTTGGAGAGACAATAATTCACCAACGCCTCCCACAATGACATGGTGCTCAACTCATACACATTTGAAAGTGCGTGATTTTCTTATTTCAGGTACAAGAAACTCATCAACAAGCTATATGCCATTAAGTTAATCCAATGTCGATGATCATATTGTAAGTGCGGATGAGGTAAGATAAATTGCAGAAAGTAAACGAGACAAGAAATTTGTTAATGAGGTTCGGTTTTTCCTACTCCCCGGGACCAAGTTCAGATTTCGATTTCACTAGAACAAGAAAGCAAATTACAACCAATTCGCAAACGCGTAAAACAAGCACAACCCTCTTGATTTACCGCTCCCTTCTATAACGTGAAACCTTAAGGATAATCTCTACCCTTAACTAAACTCTCTCTGAGTCTAGATTTAATCAGGATAACCTAACCCTGAGCTAAACTCCCCTTGAGCCTAGACTTCAACACAAAACCACTTGATCACACAAGCACAAACCGCAAAACTAAGTTGCACACAATCTCATAGAAAGCTCTCAAAGATTTTTTCTTTATGCCTCAGCTCTCCTATCTCTCCAAGACGTCCTTAGCTCCCTCTTATATAGCCAAAACGATTTCCTAATCACCATAGGAGAAGATTTCCAATTTCCATAAGAAAAAGTAAATTTTCTTTTACACTTTTCCTTTTCTTCATTAAACTCCACTTTCATCAAGTCTTCCAAATCTCTTTAAGTCCTTTTTCCTTTGTGATTCATCCTCCAAACACGCTCCAAACATATCTTCTCAAACCTTCTAGAAACCGACACTCACATAAAAACAGTCGCATCTTGACTTACTTCTTGAATCATTCAGCAACTCCATCAGACAAAATCTTGTATTACTTCTTGACTCATTCAACAAGTTCATCAGACTGCAGCTACATCTTCACATATTCTTGATCTAGCTGTATGAAAACTTCATACACCAAAGAGTAAGCATTTTTGGTGGGACTGAAACAAGACCATGTTGGAGAAGCATTTGCCAGAAACAAGACCATGTTGGAGACTGTAGAATCCATATTCTAAGGATCATATTTTGAATTATGAAATAATTATGTCATCTTATTAATTGCGAATTTGATATATTTTTTCTTGGAAAGTCTTGATAATGTGAGAATTTGACTTTCCTTTTTATGTGTGTTTTATTTTCTAACGTTCTTGTGCAAAATGTATTTGCTCTTATTTCCTTGTGAGAAAAGTAAAAAGATATTGGAGGTTAATGACAAGATATGTTGGTGGTGAATAAAAAGATGAAGACGCTTTTTCTCAAAATACACTTGCTACACTGTTAAAACAGAGAAACAGAAATCAGAGTTCATTATTCAAATATTGTGTGGCTGTTTAGTTTGAGAGAGATAACCTTGGGAAGAGGTTGTTGCCGCTGTGAGAAGCACAGAGCAAGGACTTCAGCAAGAAGAAGACATCCATGATTAAGGGAGAGTAAATGTTTTACTCGTGATATCTTAGATCATGTTTTAGATAGATGTGTTAAAACTTGTGTAGAAATTTTATTTCTATCTTGTATTGTCTTCTTAAAGTTATCTAATAAACTTGTTTGCAGCCGAGGACTAATGGTTGGTTTAAAAGATAATCAACCGATACTTCATTAAATCTCGTATCGTCTCGTTTATTTCTTTATTGTTTATTATGCTTCCGCACTATTTCAATATCTAATTTATCTCATAATTTTAGAGAGACCACGTGTGTGGAGAAGAAGCATGAGAGACAACATATCACATACTATTCTAGTGCAACATATATATGATGAGAGAATTGGCACCAGTGACAAACCCCGCAGGTTATTTACTCGTCGCAAACTCCTTATATGAGAATATTGATTTCTTCTTTAATTAAAGCCAATAGCAACAACAAATTGGATCTGCCTTTTTTTTTACATTGACTAGAGTAATGGAAAATGAGAAAATTATCTCGTTATAGAGGAATAGATCTGCTTTTTTTTTTTTTTCTGTACATTATAGTGCTATAATATCCCTCCGGCTCCAGATTGGCTTCTTTGAGTTATCCAAATAATTCAAACTTGTTGACAAAAAAAAAAAATCTCATTTTCCAACACAAAAGATGGTCTATTCCTATGTTGCATGGAAACTCTCTTCGAGGTCCGTTTCCCGTTTCCGAAACGTTTCGGAAACGGAAACTCTTCGGAAACACGAAAAACGTCACGGAAACGCGTTTCCTAAAAATCTATGTTTGGAAACACGATGGAAACTCACGTTTCCAAAATGGAAACGCGACAAATCTTTTTTATTGTCTTTGGAAACTTAATAAATAAAAGTTGAAAATATTAAAATTTATAATACATATAACTAACTTTGGAAGACTCTGAGTTTTAAGATCTTTCTATCGACAAACTAGATTTGGAGGCATCTTTATATGATCTATGATGAAACTAATGAAACTTAAAATGAAAATGTTGATCTAAATTAAATATTTGAACTTGAACCTTTTAATCTTTATCTTTTAGAATTTTAGTTAACCTATTTAATATTGATGTTTTGGACTTGTATTGTTTAATTAAACAATTTTTCTTTAATATAATATAGTTTTATGTTAATGTTATATATATACACATATATTATATATGTATGTGTATACGTTTCCAAAACGTTTCCAATCCCTAATTTTAGAAAAAAATCGTTTCCCGTTTCCGAAACGTTTCGCTTCCACGTTTCCGTTTCCGTTTCCATGCAACATGTTATTAACAAAGCTATCCTGAAATGTGCAAATAGCATAAATTAATGACATCACCCTGCAAAAGATGTGGTGTAATCTTAATAAGTCATCTGCTCACCCCAAAACATATGAACTAGATTATTCTGCCATTATATAAAACTAAAAGTAAGGCCGATCCCATGAAAATATTGATTTAACATAATAATTGCTTTAAGAAAAATGTAAAACTATGTTAAAAAAAAACAATTTCTCTAAGCAATAGTTTTTTCACTAAAACTAATAAGTAATAACATGTAGTGGTCCTAAAACTATATATTTATACTCTTTTTAATTTCCCTCTTAGTTTAGTAGTGGCTGCGCTTAGCCGCTTATAGATTAAGGGCGAAACCGTCATTTCATTACCTTCAATAATTTTGTGTTTCGAAAATTTATTAAAAGAGAAGAAAACAAAAACGTCATCGTTCTCTCATTGGTTAATATGGATAATCTACACATGTATTTGCTACTTAATATTTAATATTATATGCTTTGAGAGTTAACAAAACAAATAAAAAATTTAATAAACAATTAAACATCGTCCTCATCCATTTTCTCATCCTCCAACGCTAGATCAGACTTTAGACACTTAGAGAGAGCAGCGAGAGCGATGAGTTCATCATCAAGAAAGCTTGAGGTTGTTTCACCAGTTCCGGCCGATATCGATATAGCTAATTCCGTCGAGCCTTTACACATCTCTGAGATTGCCAAAGATCTTAATATCAACCCACTTCACTACGATCTCTATGGCAAGTATAAAGCTAAGGTTGTAATCATAATATTACCCTTTTCTTTTATCTCCCTTGAAAATGAATTATTCATCCTGTCTCTTCTAGGTTGTTGTCGGTTTGGAATTGTGACATGTTTTGAGATTTGATTCAACAAGGATCCGTGAGAACTCTGTTTTTGGATATTGTTCGAATTGATTTTGATCATGTTTTGTCCAAAAGATAATAATAATGTTCGAGAGATTGCTAAAGATTGAGTTTTAGTAGGCTCTTACGTAAGCTTAAAGTTTATAACTTTCGATTGCTTTTTTTTTCTTTTTTTTCTTTACCAATTAGCTCTCTTTTCTTGTTCTGTTTTTGTCGGTGGACAAGATTGATACTTTAGTTTCCCCTATAACATGAGAAGCTTGTTAAACCAGTAGTTTCTCTTATGAAGTTCTGATTTAGTGGTTTAGTTTTCTGATCTAATCAACTGATGATTTGTTCTTTGTAGGTTTTGTTGTCTGCGTTTGATGAGCTTCAAGGACAAGAAGATGGTTACTATGTTGTTGTTGGAGGGATTACTCCTACTCCTCTTGGAGAAGGCAAGAGCACTACCACTGTTGGACTTTGCCAAGCCTTAGGTGCTTACCTCGATAAGAAGGTTCTCTCTTGCTTTCAATCGTTTGCTTATGCTTGCTTTTGGACAAACTTCTCTTCTCTCTTTGTATTGATTTGTGAAGTGTTGTTGCTTAGGTTGTTACTTGTCTTCGGCAACCATCACAAGGACCAACCTTTGGAATCAAAGGAGGTGCAGCTGGTGGTGGGTATAGTCAGGTGATTCCTATGGATGAGTTCAATCTTCATCTCACTGGAGATATTCACGCGATCACCGCTTCCAACAATCTCTTAGCTGCTGCAATCGACACTCGGATTTTCCATGAGACGTCTCAATCCGACAAGGCTCTTTTTAATAGGTTGTGCCCTCCTAATAAAGAAGGGAAGCGTAGTTTCAGTGACATTATGTTCAGGAGATTGACAAAGCTTGGGATTTCCAAGACCAGTCCTGAGGAGCTTACTCCCGAGGAGATAAAGAAATTTGCTAGGCTTGATATTGATCCTGCTTCCATCACGTGGAGAAGAGTTATGGATGTTAATGATCGGTTCTTGAGGAAGATTACTATTGGACAGGGACCTGAGGAAAAGGGGATGACTAGAGAAACTGGCTTCGACATTTCTGTTGCTAGTGAGATTATGGCTGTTTTGGCTTTGACAACCTCTCTAGGTGATATGAGAGAGAGGCTAGGTAAAATGGTGATTGGAAACAGCAAAGCCGGGGATCCGATAACAGCAGATGATCTTGGTGTTGGAGGAGCCTTGACTGTTCTGATGAAAGACGCTATTAACCCGACACTCATGCAGACACTGGAAGGGACACCTGTCCTAGTTCATGCTGGTCCTTTTGCAAACATAGCTCATGGAAATTCATCGATTGTTGCGGACAAAATCGCTTTGAAGCTGGTGGGACCTGGTGGATTCGTGGTAACAGAAGCGGGTTTTGGTTCTGATATTGGGACGGAAAAGTTCATGAATATTAAGTGCCGTTACAGTGGGCTAACGCCTCAGTGTGCGATTGTTGTGGCGACTGTTAGGGCCTTGAAAATGCATGGCGGTGGGCCTGATGTTGTTGCCGGGAGGCCACTTGATCGTGCTTATGTAAGTGAGAATGTTTCCTTGGTTGAAGCTGGCTGTGTGAATCTGGCAAAGCACATCTCAAACACAAAGGCCTACGGTGTGAATGTAGTTGTTGCTGTGAATATGTTCTCAACAGATACCGAAGCAGAACTTAATGCAGTTAGGAAATTTTCAATGGATGCTGGTGCTTTTGATGCTGTGGTCTGCTCCCACCATGCTCATGGTGGCAAAGGAGCGGTAATCTTCTCTCTTCTAAACTTAACACTTTGTGGTCTGCAATTTCTTTTGCAATCTAGCTTATTGAAAGATGAATTTTATAAATGTTATAGGTGGATCTTGGTATCGCGGTTGAAAAAGCTTGTCAAAACATTACACAGCCACTTAGGTTTCTCTACCCATTGGACATTAGTATCAAAGACAAAATTGAGGCCATAGCTAAGTCATATGGAGCCAGTGGTGTTGAATACTCAGACCAGGTGACTGATTCCTAAACCGACTTCTTCAATTTCTTTGCATTGTTGTCAAAAGAAACCTGTTTATGTAATTTATCTATTATTCTGTGATATGTAAATGCAGGCAGAGAAACAGATTGAGATGTACACACAACAAGGCTTCTCGAATCTTCCCATATGCATGTCGAAAACACAGTACTCATTCTCGCATGATGCATCAAAGAAAGGAGCACCTTCGGGGTTTGTTTTGCCAATAAGGGATGTAAGAGGAAGCATTGGAGCTGGTTTCATATATCCACTGGTTGGTACAATGAGTACCATGCCTGGACTTCCTACAAGACCTTGTTTCTACGAGATTGATATTGACACTGAAACTGGAAAAGTTCGTGGCCTTTCTTAAGTTTGGTGGATCGATCAGTTAAAGCTTCAAGCTTCCCTTCACCATCATTTCTCACTTCAACAATAAAAATTTGGCGATTGTACTTTGATATTGAGTGTTTTTCCATCTTTAAATGAATAAAATAAAAGTATCTTTTCCTTCTGATTAATCTCTGAAAAACTCATTATTTGGCTCAAGTCAAAACTCAAGGTAAAGCTACAGATAGAACTTCTGATGTTCAAAAACAAAGAATAAACCAAATGAATGACAGTGTTTTCTTCTGAAAAATCGTTGTATGTGAAATCATCAGAGGCATTGGAGATTTATGAATCAGAACAGCTTTCAGAATCATGCACTGGGAGGCTTGTAGAGCTTCTCAACCATCTTCCTGTACTCTGCGTATGGAGAAACAAAAGAGACATAAGAAACTCATAAAGGAAGAATTCATAATTGTGGAACTCCAAAGACGGTTGATTTTAATCATGACTTTATTAAATCGTCCGTCTGTTTACCTTCTTGGTTACTCCAAAGCTGAGCTGCTTGAGTGTTCAATGGTGAACTGATGTTCGGTTCTGACCAACGAAAAGATGTATCAGATATTGGATTAACCAACAAAAAGAGCTTACAAGATATCAAAGATATTAAATTACCTCCCAGGAGGCTCTGAATCGATAGTAGTATTGTCCTGACATCGTAAGCAGATGACCACTTATCCTGCAAATACGAAAATTTGTAAACGGATTAAGTTTGATACTTCTTCTCTGATTCAGTGTAGAACAAAGACACAAGTGGAGGATATCTTTTACCTGAAGAATGTCTAAGCAGATATTGCCATAGACATCAACATTGGGGTGGAAGCAACATGTCTCAAACTTAACCTTTGGAGGTTTGAAAGGATAATCATTGGAAAAAGAGAGTGAGAGTCTGTACTCAGTTCCTTCAAACACAGTATCTTTGCTTCCTGTTATTGTCCCTTTCCAGCAGAATATGTTGTCTTCCTCAGGGAAAGCCGATATTCCTGGACCACCGCCCATCTGAAAAACAACCAAGTCAAGAACCCTATGAGCATCTTAACTACAAAAACTTCTTCAGTAAAAGGAAGAAGAAAGATGATAACTTACCATCAAGCCCATCAATTCAGATTGCAGCCTGCGTATAATCAAAGAAAAAAAACTAGATTAGGAATCTGGGAGTTACTTAAGTCTGATTAAAAACCGAAACTTTGAGCAATATAAGGTAGAGGGCAACGATAAAATCTGATTCAAGATCAATACAAAGAACATCTTAAAGGTTTAGTTCTCTCAGAGACATTCTAACAAACAGTTTGTATGCAAAGATATATGAGAAGTCTCTCACTTCATTTAACGGATCCAGAAGTACATCGACCACAAAGAATTGGATATGGGTAATAACCAAATACTAACAAACCATGGAATGGATATAAACAAAGATACAGCAGAGCGATTTTATATCCAAAAAGAGTGAAGCGATTACATTGAATTGGTGAATGGGTGCAGCGAAATGTTGGAACAAGAATGAGAAAAAGAAAGTACCTTTTGAGAACAGATTGGCTGTCAACAGTCTTGGTCGGAGCGGCAGGTTGTTTAGATCCATTAGACGCCGGAGGATCTGCCGGAGTATTTCCCTGATACCCATTTACGGCGGCCATCACTTTCGCTTTCTTAATCGTCAGAACAAAATCGAATTTTTATTAAGAAATCGAAAGCACTCAGTTAGACTAGAGTAGAATCAGATTAACGACTGATCGAAAGTAGAAGAAGGAGAAGAGGAAGATAACAAAGATCCTTCTTCTTCCTTCCGATGCGAGAGAGAGAGAGAGAGTCTGAGGTTATAAAACGGCGTCTGAGTAAGGGCAAACGACGTCGTCTTTGCAGTTTAAATGGGAAAAAAGAAAAAAGGAAATTTAAAGCGTATTTGTTTTTGAACGTTGGATAGCAAACAAGCGGCGCTTGGAAGCTTTTGAATTTCGTTTATCTAACGGCTACTTTACTTTTTCTTTCTTTTTTCTTTAATTCTGAATCTGAAAGAAAAAACAATTAATTTTTGTTGACAAATGGAATGCATACATACATAAAAAGAAAAAATATATTTTATATACATTGTATTCTAATATATTGTCAACAAAAGAACATTGTATTCTAATATAGTTTTGGGAAACAATTCAAAATTGTTACCATACCAATAATAAGAAAGATATTGGGTGTCATATAAAGGATAAAAAGGATCTTGAATTTGCTTTTTAAACAGTAATGTAAAAACCAAAATCAAATCAAGGATTTCCTCTTCCTATCTATCTATCTAATGAATTTGCTGGATGACATAAAGGGGGTGGGTAGGTTTACAAAAAAAAAAAAAAAAAAAAAAAAAAAAGACATAAAGGGGGTGGGTTATTTGCAATATATATATATTCTTAGTGGTAAAACTATAAATAATTGCTGTGTAATTCCGCGGTGATTTATTGAAATAACGTGAGAATATCTTAAATTAGTGTGACATCGGTTAAAATATCATGTTATTATTTTATTTTTTTTCCATCAATCATGTTATTTTGTTAAAAATGCATAAAACACACACATAATAAATGATCCAACTTATTTACGATTTTTTTTATCTCTATGGTTTTTGAACTTTTTAACTACTTTGTTATTTTCAAATTAATCTTGTGATACATTGCAATATTGCACTGATCAAGAAATAAAAGATTAGGAATAGCAGACTACAAACAAAACGGTCATTTTGTTTTTGAAGAACCTGGTTACAGTGAAATTAGCCAAACAAGTTTCTAAATCGGAGAAATTATGCATCTTCAAACTTTTAAACCTGTTGAGTAGTTTGTAAAACGCTTACCAAATTACAATTCAGACTAAAACAATCAAAGAGGAGATGATAGGATAGAACGAAAAGGAGAAACTAGGAATATTCAGACTTTAACGATCAACAACAATGGAGCTTAATGACTCGTGAAACTCTTTCAAAGAAGACATGACAAATGCTTGTGCTAAACATCACAACTTCTCTCATCCATTGAGGTGCCACTCTTTCAACTATCCCCAATGTTACAACTTTGTAGAGAAGCTCAGATTCTTCTTCAACAACCAACTTCTTTACCAAAGTTATGCTGAATGATAAACCTGTCATGGTCAAAAGATCATATACATCAGTGTCCTGTTTTTTTTGAGACAGAACTACATGTAAAGGCCGGGGATTATTACCGCTTGATGGATGACGGCTATAATGCAGACTTGTTCGTCTTGTTTACTAGTTGCTAATTTCATTCCTAGCAATTGTTGGCCAAATGCTTGAAATATACACTCGCTAAAACCACTTGATGTATCATGATTTGTTTTGCAACATTTCTGCTTATTCACCAAACAAACCAAGAAGTATGTTAAGGAAACCTTTGCATTTCAATAAGGATAATGATAGATTGGATGAAAGAGAATTTGGTAACAGTGTTACCTTGTTGTGATGGCTGACTTGAGGTGAAATCATGATCATTTCCACGGTATCTTTTGATTGCCTGCTCCGTTTTTTGGACCTTGTTGTTGTAATTAGGGTACTACCACGAGTCTCTGAATCTTGGCTTCTTCCACAAAGGTGTCTCTCTTGGAACAGATCTTTTAGCTTCATAACTTCTTCAGAAAGTGCATTTTTCACATTTAAGTAAGATAATAATATAACGAGATACATGACTGGTCTCACTTGATGTTATCTCAGCTAGAACTTCAACAGAAACAACTCTACATTGCAACACAGACAATGTAGGTATAAACCAAAGAGCAGGTATGCATAAGTAGAAGTAAGTAGCTGCCTGTTACTCTTTTTTTTCTTCTTCCATGAGAAGCCTTTGATACTCCACATTTTCCTTTTCCTTGATATATCTGTAGCCCACAGATCGTAATATTTTTAATTCACAAGGCTCCAACTTTCACCAATTATGACTACCTCCGTAAACATGCCAGGTAAAAAAAGAATAGAACATTATGAGTTACATACCTGATTGAGGTAATTTCACTCCTAAATTTATCAACTGACTTAGTTCAAGAAAGTGTTCGTAACGTTTCTCAACAAAGAATGCAATAAACAACTAAGATACATCCGCACCCTGAGAAAACTCGTTATTCACTATGAATCTCTGATATACACATAACCAGGGAAACAAAGAAACAAGTGCATTTAAGCACAGAGGGAAACAAAGGTGGGAATTGCATAAGTCAAAAAGTTGAGATGAGGTAGAAAATAAACAAATCATGCGTTGAAGAGTCTCCTTAAAGGCCCGTCTTTGCGGTCTTTGGCAGCTTCCGTAAGAGCAATGAACTTCTTGAAGCCAGTGCTTGCAGCTCCTCTGCCAAGAGCAGCTGCTCTGGTTAAAACATCCTCGCTGTTTGCTATGAACCCAGCAGCTGTAGCCGGATTAGTGATTGCCAGTGGTGGTGCAGGTGGGGTTGGCATCGGTTGTGGCATTGCCGCTGCAACCGACTGTTGTGTGAATCCTGGGCCATGCTTATTGAAATCATCAAGTATACTCTGCTGATCAGCTTTCTTAAGACCCTGCACCAAACACCAGAAAACGTTTCAGCATATTTTGAAGGCCCCTATAGTTTAACTGTTTAAGATAGAGAGAAAAAACAAATTGTCCAGACAGTGACGAGAATGCCACTGGAGGAGAACTTTACTTAGCCCCACAATCTAGAGAGTCGCTCTAGAATACTGTTGTGGACTGGACTCCGGTCTCGAGCCAGTTTGCTTGAGAGTGAGGAAATGGGTTTAAGACATGCCAAAATTACCTTAAGTTCCAAGATGCGCTGAAACTCCATGGGTGTTCCTTCCGGAAACAGTGCACGATAAGTGTCTGCCACTGAATCGATTGGGGATAGTATGACCTTAAGGAGTGCTTCAGCTCTGCTCATTTCACGGCTCACAAATTTGGAATAGCTGGCAGCAGTTGAAGTCTGCAATGATATTATTACTAAAAATATATCAAAACTAAAACAAAAGTAACCTGTCTCGGATTTACAGACTAAAGTGCTATATACGTTATCCCTAATATCGGCTCTATGACCGGAACAAGAATACCCAAAGGGTTTGGCATCATCAGGTATTCTACTTTGGGCAAAGAAGATACCCAGTGATGCGTCACACTGAGAAAACAGAAATGAGATAAATTGGTAGTGATGAGCTAACCTGTCTGGCAAGGGAAGGAATTTCTAGTAGAATCGACTTCACGGCTTGCGTATCCAGTAACATCTGTGAAACCAAAAGACATATAATTCATATTCGAACTTTGAACAACTATAAAACAAGGGCTCAGAAACATAACATCTCATGAACACTCCAATCATACTAGTACCGAAATTCAGGAAATTACTAAACATAGTCACTTCAACATCGACAAAAGAAGAAAGTGTGAGCGATAAGGCGATATAACCAGACTGAGTTTGGCTCTAGTCTTTGGATAAACCTGATAAACAAAGTAAATAGAATTTTTCCCACAGAACATCATTCTAGGAAATTCACTAGTTGACTATTAGAGAAATCACTACAGAGAGAATCAGAGGCATCCAAATGGAGGAACATAGAGCATGCAGGCTAACCTGTTGAGCTCCAGTTTCGGATAGTTGCTTGCATCTGAAAATATTAGCATAGAACCGTGGTCCGAGGGATGATGCCAGCTGCACAAAGTATTACAAGGTAGTATGGGAATCTTTTTTATATTCATACAAGACATACGCAAGGAGCTGCTCAAGGCTTGACCACATTTCATGCGGGTCCTAAACTTATAGAAGGACGCAACCATCAGATCATGAAGGCATTCAAATCAGACACTCTTTATATAATTACCTTGTCGAGGAAAAACTGGAAGTAAACTGGTGTTAGAAGTTTCCCGAGGACAGGTATGCTGCCGCTAAGGATTGTATTTATTCCATTCACGTACCTATAAGAAGATGCAAATGCATGTTGTTTACGCTTGGTCATATGGGCATAAAAAAAAAAAAAGCTTTTAACACCCCAGTTAGATCTTACCCAGACTGGTCACCCACACTCTCAAGTGTGCTCCAAGGAACACGTGTCATCGCTGCCATTTCTGTGTCAAATTTCGTCTCAAATCCAAGGACCAGCGTTACCAACGCTTTTGTTATGACGGCTGAAAATTCATCCTACACAGCAGCACAGTTTAAGAACAATCCTAAATAAGGGAAAACTATCAAGTCCTTCATGTAATCAGTACCTGGACCTCTGACATGTCTACACCATCAGCATAATGTGGGTCAATAATTTCTGAGACGTTCTCTGCCAGTTCACCAGACTGCGATACAAATATCAGAATATCCTTGTGAAGTGCCGCATTGTTGTTTACTTAATCAAAAATTTTAGATAGAATCCTACTAACAACGGCACGCATCTTGAATCCGGGAACAACATTACAGCTTGCATTACATTGTTTAATATAGACGCAGCAGATAATATATTTGAAAATGTGACATAAATATATAAGAAAAGTTGCAAATAAACCTTTCACAGCTACGCTAGAATTCGTAAAACCGAGAAACTTGGAGGTGTAAGATATGAAGTTCAGTGCAGAGGAGGAAGATCACATCACAAACACATCGAGAAAGTAACTAGACCCATGAAAGTTTCATGGAACTTGATGCGAAGAATATCAATCTCAAAAATGGTTTTTCTACATGACTGGCCTAAAAGAAGATTAGGACC